GTTATTTTCACTGTTAGATACTTCCCACGTCCACCAGCGTCAATCTATTCTCGGATCGTGGCCACAGAAGAGATTCTCGGGGGCTCCTTGAGGTCCATTGTCCGCGGAGGAGTATTGTGCCCTTGGCTGTAACGATTTCTTGTATATTGTTTCCTGACCCTCTTTTGTATGTTGTCAATCTGAGGGATACTGTGTTTCTTTCTTTTTCCTTTACTCTCTTCGACTGTGAAGAACACAAAATCAAGTAATTGTTTTTATCATATCGTTGTAATTTTCATGTTAACTCATTGCAGAGAGATGCTTATGTGAAAAGGATATATTGCCTTTTTTTTGTTCGTTTTTCATACACTGACGACTTCTATAGCTGAAAAAGACAGAATATGAAGCGGTCGTTTGCATAGACAGCTCCTTACGGCTGCGACCGACCACGCACCACCATTGGTAAAGATCGAATTGCGAATTTGCTTTTTGAAGGTTGATTTGAGAAACGCAGGCAGCCGATGTTCAATGGAAACGTACCCTGTCCTATGTCAAGTTACACCAATCTGTAGCAACAGGAGGTACGCACAAGAAAATTTCGAAGGGGACTAAAAAATCTCCCACATATTGAAAAGTCACTAAGATGGTGACTATGTATAACAGGTTTTTTACTCCCACTACAATGCACAGCAAAATTTTCTGATCTGACCGAGTTTCATGGGCCTTCTTTGCTTTCAATCGTCTCTGTAAGACTTGAGATTATGGATTCCAGTTGTCTGAATCATTTACCGAAATGTTCAGTGTTGATTGATAATTCTTTCATATCAGAAACTCAGTGCGATTTGTGAGTAAGGGAACTTAGCTTTGCTCTTCGGAAGCCGTTTAGTTCTCATTAGTACTTGAGTCTCACCTTCAGCCTTACAGACCACGGAACACTTGAAACGAAGGTGAATGACCAAGAAACGCAGTTAAAAGGAAGCGATCTGTTGCCTATTGAAAACATTATAGTTTGCGTTTATAGAAAGAGTCATTGGATGGAGCAAGAGACTGATCATCAGAGACTCGCTATTGCAGTTTTTGAACAGCATATTGTAATGGTTGTATGTATGGGCTGGGTTCCGAGAAATGTTCATCTTCATCCGATTCCAATGAAAATGAAGCGGCCCCTGTGAATCTGTAAAACTAAATGTTTAATATCGTGCGATTTAAGAAAATGTGCGCACTATGAAAATTTAGCATCGGTGTCGTTGAGCGTGAGGTGCATCGCTAAAGCCGGTGTGCTGAGGGATAAACCCTCAGGAACGTAAACCCTGCGCTGAAATTTTTTCTTAAGAATAATTTTCGTTGGTCAACGACGGATGTTCTTGTTTTTCCTCCCGGCCAGAATGAAAGTGTGCCACTTTCGTTCACTGCCTTGAGGCGGACTATCACGTGCTAGACTTATGAAAAGTTTGAGAAACTGCATCAAACGGTCATTCAAGAAGTAGAATCGAGTGAAGTTTAGCGGTAATAACTCGCTGGACCGACTGAAATGAAGCTTCACGTCAGTTTGAAGTCGTTCTTACACAATGACTGCTTTTATCTGACATGAAATCAAAATTCTACTGTATTGCACTAGAATTGAGTCCACTTCACCTGGTAGTACACGCTTTAGAAAAGGGTGAAGTGACTATGGATGCGGCGATATGACTGTTTGAATATCTACGAAGGATATCCCATTGGCTTCTACCCTTTGTTCTCTTCACAAAACAGCGCTGTGCTCATGACACCGACTGTCGAACAAGCGTGTAGTAATGTCTATGTTTGACGACATTTTTGGCTAGATGATGTTAAGTAGAAGAGAACTGGTACCTAGTGCCTTTCAATCTCGTCGAGCAACACCTTCAAATGCCTCAAGTCACAAAAACCAAGGGATCGACATAGTAGAGCTTCGAAAAGAAGGCATCCAAGTCAGCGGTCGAGGAAAAAACTAAGCTAGCTCACGCTCCTGTTCTCGTTTCTACAATCATTCATCCCTCAGCTTATTCCCTCTTCTGTGAATTCCTTCTAAAATCTGATGCTGACTGTTGAGCTGAACGACCAACATACCACCTCCAACATTTCGCAAGCATTATAGTAAAGGCACAAGGCCCTTGTCTTAAAGGAACCTAAGTTTCGTTGGTTGCCTCATTTCACAGAGGGTGCCAAACGTTTCCCACTGCATTTTCTAAAGGCCATTTCTCTAACATCGTTTTTTACTTCATAATTAGACTTAGATTGCTCGTCATATAAAAGTAAGTTTCTTATTATTGAGCTCTGCCAGTACAGCTGTGCTCAGATACGCCCGAAACGTGCTCAGCGACGACCGAAATGAAATAAATTCCCTACGTGAAAAGTCACAGCATGTCATTCAGAATGTCATATATACTTGGCAGACCATAATTAACACAAAATTTATGCAAATCTAAGTTTGCTCATTTGCTGAACCTTAGCAGCGCTTTTATATTGTTGAATATCACGCAGTCTCCTTCGTTTTGATATTTTGGCTGGGCAAATAGTTGAGACGTAAATGATGTCAGCTCTCTTTTGGAAACAACTCTTCTGTCACACGGTATCCAGGACATCAATTCCCTTTGTGACTATGACAGAGATAGAAAGTGAAATTTAAAAGGAACAAAAGAGTATAAGAGTGAGAAACTCGCGTCTCTTTGCTCATGAACCTTATCCTCGCAATATTTTAGACACTCGTTCCCTAACTATCATGGTAGCCCTAGTATATTATTCTACTTCACTTCGCTTTATTACTTCGATTACTGGTGGTCTCGCTAGGATTGAAGGTGCAACAAAGACCTTTTTTACAGATATCGGGAAGGACACTGTTGGTAAATGGCTCTGCACCCGTTGCAACTGTTTGCGTAGCCTATTAATATTTAGAAAAGCAAAAACTTCATATAGCAGTATAAAAGCTCTGCCAGAAATGAGCAGACAGGCATACGGTTCGAGCAATGTTCGTGGTTGTTGCAGCGTTCCAAATAGTAAGTGAAGAGCTTCATTCAGCAGAGGCATGTAATCTATGCCTGAGTGATCCGTTTCATTCCAGGTGCTTCTAAACTCAGCTGTACTGGCTGCTGGTAAGTTTCATAACATGACATTTACTCTTATTCGAGGATCCTACATAATCCTATAATTATTTTCAAGATCGATGCAATCTCAAGAATGGAATAACAGATGACGTCAGAGATGTGTTTCTCAATAAACACAACGAATATCGGTTAGTGTTAACTGAGCAACGAAATACAATTGAGTCTTAAGCGAATTAGAGATTTCAGATCGCAGGTCGCAAGAGGTCTCGCCAAAGACAGGCAAGGTGGTACTACACCAACAGCCGGGAAAATGGCGAGGATGGTAATTTTGCATTAAATGCATTCATGAAACTTAGTGAACCTGTGCCTCTCAACAGTGCGCATGAAACGTAATGAACCATCTTAGTATATTTCAGAGTTACGATTGCAAACTCGAAGAAAGTATGATGAAATGGCTAAATAAATGCATATTCCGAGACTCTAAAAGTGGAAACGGAGAGAACATTTGGTTGTCAACTGATACCCGTTTGAACAAAACGCACGCTGCGACAATGGTTAGTGTCGGAGTTGAGAGGTTTCTTGGCGGGGCTATTGAAGCTTCTTTGCAGAGCACCAAAATATGGTTCAGCGAATTAGAAACCAAAGGCATTGGGAAAGAAAACATACTGACGGATCAGGTATTTAATCGAGGCGTTGGACATTATACGCAAGTAAGTCCACAAATTAGCAACGAATACAGATATTCATCGAACATCATCTTGTTCTAGATGGTTTGGCAGTCAAGTAGAAAAATTGGATGTGGCGTGAAAGTTTGTGAAAAATTTGTGCTTGCCGGTTGCCAGTACCAAAAACGGTGTGTTTATACAAGTTGAAAGTTTTTCGTATTCTCGATTTTTGCGATACTATTGTAGCATTTCCGTAAAATGATCTCTCTCTCAGATTCCTCGCTTCCGTAAGAAACTGTTTTCAGAGGAAATTTAATTGGAGCCGACATTTATGAGAAAGGCGATGTATGCTCAATGTGCAACTGTCAGCAGTGCCGATGCAACAAAAAAGAAGGTCTTTGTGATGCCCCATAAGTGATGGCAATAAATTTTGCAATGACCTGTTGGCTTTCTTATCAAATTTGTGGCACTAAAAGCTACCCCTTAAAAACATTCACGTAACATGAGCTTTGAAAGATCGCAAGAAGCCTGCGTTCGTCATATCAACGCTAACCCTCATGCACAATCCTGGGGAGCAAAAAAATACGTGGTACGCATCTGAATCTACAATCAATTCGCCCTAAAATAGCAGTAAGTGAGACGTAACCAAAAAACGAAGACGATGATAGTCAGACTGTTGGGTTCGTCATAAAAAGGATTTTGATACCGTCGAACAGAAGCGGCACTTGAATCCTCGGACAACCAGTTCTGCAGCCTGGTTAGGGGATCGGGCTACAGCCTACCAATAGACGCAGTTTACACCCTGAAGCAGCAAAGCTAACTACTCAGGTTGCTCAGGTTGAACACAGCCTGCGCATGAGGGTACGGCACACTACTCGTAGGTACCCATTTGCCAAAAACGTAAATATGGACGGGCCTCACTTTTCTGACCCCAAAGAAACCCAACTGTAGCAGCGTTGGATGGAACCGCTGTAGAGAGACTGCTAAAAACTCGGAGGCATAGAAAGCTTTTTGAAAGTGAATGACAATTACGGCGGTGTGTACTTCAGTGCTATGTAGCAACAGAGTTGTCTTTAGAAGATCTGAAGATGCAAGTTAGGAAGTGCGGCACGTGTGGCATCACCGAACTACTGAGAGGAAAAGGCATAGTCCGCTCACGCGGTTTTCGAGACATAAGAAGCACTGTTTCTTAGAATATGTGACAGCAGATGCGTCAGAGCAGTAGGTGTAACTGCAAATGCACACTCGCCCATGATTATCCTTACCGAAATATGGCAACTCAAATCTGTCCTTTGTGATTGAGAAAATGTGGACGAACCCAGCTGTTTTATTTGTCAGTGCAAAAACATCAAGCTACGAAGAAGGGGAGTCGAAACTTATCGGATATATGTATAGACCTAAGAAATCAGGACAGGGAAAATCATACTTCATCAAGATCATCGTCGGTGATTTCAACACCAAGACTGTCTAGAAATCAATCAGGACATAACTGCCAGAGTCGTCTATATTCCACTTCTTATAAGGAAGCCGA